ACTCATCTATGAGATCATAAACTGTACATTTTATTAGAAAACTCAGACATACTGTAATATGATCTTCAACACTGAAATATGGTTAAGATACTGAAATTTGTGTAATCACCACTGAAGTATTTGGAAAGATGATTTTGCTCTTCTAAAAGCTTAGTCACACAAATCCATATGAAACTTTCACAAAAGCCTGAATTGTAACTGAGTTGAATAGAATTAGGCTCCAGAAAATACAATTAATACATGAAAAGAAATGCTTATCACTTTGTAATTCAGTACTTCTCTTTCTCTTAATATCATTCTTTCACTATATAATTATATAAAGGAACACATGTCTCAAAGCCTCTAAATAACAATAAAATATCTCACTCATTATTATTACGCATGACTTCATAACTGAAACTCAGAATGTGCTGGCCCTTTTTTGAACCCATTCAGAAGTCAAGGCTAGGAATGGATACTCAGGCCAAAAGGGAAAGCTCTGCTGACAACCTTTAGTTTCTCAGTCAGAATTTTACCTCAGAGCCAGAGTAATTGGACCTACTTTTAGAAAGAAGGAAAAGATCTAGTAGCAAGTTGGTTTCAGCAGCCCATGTTCTCTCAACAGCCTGATATCTCTGCAAATTATCTTTCTGAGATTTACTCTTTTTTCTAATATATTTTTCCTTCTTTGGTTTTAAATCAAGTTTACTGGGAAACCATCAGGCCTCTTGACAGGTTTTGTTGGCCTATACATTGTTTACTATCCTAGATTTCGAAATAATACTGTCTGGATTTGCATACTTTAAACACATATACATTTGGAACTTCTGAAAAAACTGAAACTTTAAATGACCTGAGACCTTATCCCCCATGACAGCAAATTAGTTTGTATGAATCTGTATAGGATAAAGACCAGATATGTTATCTCCAGTTTCTCCAGTTGCCTTTACTCTATATTGTCCTACTGAGACAGAATGAAGGGTGGGTTCTTATTGAGATCTTAGCTTCAATGTCCTTTGTGCAACACTCAGTATATGAGAATCTGAGTTAGAAACTTCCAGTTCACTGGTTTCTTTCCTAGCTCTGTGTTGTAGCCTGGTTCACATGATTGATGACTTGATTCTGTTCCAGATCTGGGTCCTTACCTTGGTCCTCTATATTTTACTGTTTTTATACTTATTTGTCTCACATTTCATTCCTTCTACCCCATCCTCAGTTCTATTACAATGTGCCAATTCCAATTAACTTTTTATTAATTTTTAGATCCTAATTATTTCTTCCTCATATCATTCACATATAGGTTAATCTTTTACCACTGTAGACTTTAAATGCTGGATTTTGAAAAAATCTGAAGAAAGTGAATAGTATAACATTATAGAAATAATAACAAGGAACATATGTTCCATGAATATAGCCACCTAACGTGTTTGGTTGCAGAAGCGTTCCTCCAAACGCTCTTTGTTTTAGCAAAGGTTCAGAGAAACTTTCAGGACTATGTGATACCCATCTACTGTGACAAAGACCTCTCATTTGTCCTTTGCTCACAAGTCTTCTTTTATATGAAATAAATAATTGTTTAAGAATCAACTTCAAAGTTTGAATGTGTATGTAGATGTGCTTCACAGCATTTTCAATACAACACAATAGTGTCAGCTATGAAATGCATAGTAAGTGTCTGGCAATAAAATTTATGCTTCCTCTATGACTGATACAGTGACAGGTCATAGGTTCTCTTTGAATTTTCATTACTATGCGAAATTTAATATTTTGGTTGCATTGTTCCACAAATGGACTTACCCTGGCAATGTACTCCTTCATCAGACCCATCTGAGCAGTCCAAGACACCATTGCACAATTGAGATAGATGAACACATCTTTTGGTACCAAGGCAAGCAATATGATTGAAGGGGCACTTGATTTCTACCTCCTCAGGACCTGAAAAAAAGGTAAAAAGGAAAAGAATGATGAGTGTTAGCTTTGCTTTTTAAATAGTAAAACTGTCCAGTAAATGAAATTACCACCATTCACTTGCAAAACAAAACTATATAAAATACTACCAGAGGGCACCTCTGATTCTCAGAAACATCAGAATTACCCTATATAAATAAAACTGCAATTTTTAAAAGCTGCATAGGAAATGAAATATTGTGTATTCTTTCAAACAATGAATTAAAACACAAATACTCATTTCAATCACTGAAATAGCATGGATTTAAAGTCTGAGAGTTGATTTGAGTCATTTTTTTCTTATCCATGCATAAGTTGGCCAAGATACTTCAACCCTTTGAGTCTCAATATCCTTAACTGTAAAGTTTGGAAAATGGTACTTGGCAGGTTTCTTTTATTAGAATGATGTCAGGTAACATGAATAAAAAGATTTTAGTGGAATTTGAATGAAGTATCAATTTGCAAATTATTTTTATTCTATTCCTTAAGAATATGAAGAACAGTTATCAATATGTATATATACATACATATATGAATTACATAGTTTTAAAAAAACTTACATTGAGCAACTATAATGCAATAGAATTTACCAAAGAGGAAGGAGGTGGTGATGAGTTTGGCATTCTCATTGACTTTCCCTGCTAGGAGTAACTATTTTGCCGTTAATTATCACTTTTTTGTTTTTAAGGATATGCCTAGGTCAGAACATAGTCTTTTCTTGAGATTCACCATTTCCAAATCTTCACACATCCAATTTGTATGTTGTTCTACCTAAATTTCAGGTCACTAATTCCCAAATCTGACTTCAATAGTCACTTTCCAAGTTCCCCATAGGATTCTTAGTCTCTGGATCTATCTCTTCCCAAATCCAAATGCAATAATACCAATAGGACTACAATCATGCCTTAAGTGGACACTGGTTTTGCAACATCTCTGAGTCCATAGTTAGACACACTTAGGTTTTAATCACAGTTTTGTGAATTTCAAGGGACCATTAATTAAATAATCATTATTTTTTTTAACCACAAAATGGGATTATCAACTGAGATTGACTACAAAGCACTGATAGTGAGATGCAGGCTCAGAGTGGGAATTCACCACGTGTCAGTCATGTGAATACAGGCAGCATCACAGTCATTAACAGACCTGACTGAATGCTGAGTCCAAATGCCAGCCCACATGCCAAACCACCACTTTATAAGCTGAGTGGCTTGGGCAAGTCAAATTCCATCTCTGTACTACTTCACAGAGTTGTGATGAGGATCCTATTAAAGCTCTGGCATGCTGCCTGTGAGCACTAAAGTGTTTGCTATTATTGTAGTTAAACAAAGTAAGTTCTAAGAAGTCACGTTTCCTTCCTATATACTTACATCTCATAAATTTCTTTTCTTTGCAAGTCCTTTCTCCAAAACACAAATACTCACTTCAATCAAAAATGATTGAAGAAAAAAAACAAGTAAAAAATTTCAAGTTTTACTTTTAAAACATGAAAAAAAAAACAAGTAAAAATTTCATGTTTTACTCTTACTATTTAGTTGAAGAAAAATAGTAATGAATAATAATGATGTAATAATAATGAAAAGGCCAATTTGACATATTCGAGTATGCAAAATTATAAGAAATTGTAATTGTATAGAATCAGAAAGCAACAGCAGGATATATTACATAGAAAAAGAAGGATAGAATTGCCAAAAGTAAAATATATTTTTGAAGTACCTTATCATATACGAATACTGTTTGTTGATAAAATGGCATTCTCTCAAACGTCTATGTTTTGAGGGATATGAACAAAATTTTCTGATGTAGATTCGCTAGCTGAAATGTTGTCTCTAACACGTTTCTCTGTAATTTTCACATACATTTAAATAATTACGGCTATACAAGGCTATTAATTTTGTTAAACACCTGTCACCCCTAATGTGCAACTTTTACTATAGCATGCTTCTATGACTTAAGTACCAATATTTTTAATAAGATACATTTATTTCTCCATATGTTTATATGTGTGCATATATGCAAATATATGATTAAACTACAAATACACAAGTTTGAATCTAAATTACGAGAATAAAAACTAGCAAAACACTTTTCACAAAGAGTTTCCAGCTACTTTATCTTATGTTTATAAGATGAACATAAATTGATTTAAAAATAAAATTGGGGAAATAAAAATTAATTTTGAAAAATCCATAAACTTCTATGACCGACAGTCACAAAGTAGTTTATTTTAAAATTAATTCACTGATTCCTGAAAATTGAAAAGGTGAATCCTTGAATAATGTCAAAGTGGTCTTTCGGCCAGTTATACTTAGATCGCTGTGTAAAAATTCCAAAAATAACCCACAGAAAGAACACTTCATAAACCTGGTAGATTTTAGAAGTTTGATAGTTAGAAATGAAAAATGACTCAGCAGTTATTGTAAGCAGCAAGAGTTCTTATCAATTGATACATGTGTTGGCTCAAATAAAAGTAAAATTTTTCATTGTCATTATTATCAAGTAACAGCAAAGCATGATACCAGGGGTGAAATGCACATGTAGGAGCCAGAAGAAAGGCTCGGCTACTTATAAATTTTGACAAAATAGAAAAAATATTTTAAATTTCTCAAAGATAATATATGCAAGAACTATTGGATTATTTCTAGTCATAACATGGGGGGGGGACAAGAGAGAAATTCATTTGGAAAAACTAGAGTTACTTGTCTTAGAGACTAGTCACTATAACCTTCCCATCTTTGATATACATTTGCCTTGCTCGTCATTACTTACATGATGTCCCCAAAGTCACTGTACTTAGGGAAAATGGGAAATTGTAGCTGAATGTACTTTTATTCATCAAATATTTATTATAAAATTTTACAAAGAGGTGGTTATCATCAAGAGAATATTTTGTAAATAAAGTGTCAAAAATATATATACATTTTAAGAAAGGAAAAAAGCCATATTAAAATTGTAATACTCAATATATACCAATAACAAAAAAATGAATGCAAGTCACATTTGACTTCTGCAATCACAAGAGATACCCAGAGGTTACCATCAGTGTCCATCAATGTCCAGACATTTCTGATTACGAAAAAGTAATGCACCGATAACATCACCTAAAATGTGTATGCATTTTTTGGTACCCCTGGTATTATGTAAAACTTTGTAACGAATTTTCCATTTTCCCTGTGTATGGTGACTCTTGGGATACCCTGTACTAGGAAACCCTTAAGACAGCTGGATCTGGCTAACTGAATTGTACTTAACTAATCCTTTCCAAATTTTCATATCAAAACACATTAAGACAATAGTATTTGCAAGATACACTAAAGTAAATAGCAGAGATTATTTGTATAGGTTGTCCCAGGCTTTGGGAATGAATCTCATAGTTGAGGGAATCCAGTTTTTTAACCCCCTTGACCAATGCTAGGATATTTGAGTTGATAAACTCTGCTGAAACCAGAGTTTTGTTGTTATTCCTTCTGGAAAGTGAAGATAGAGACGGGCTAGTTTGAGAAATAGCAATGCCTGCCTCAACTGGAATTCTCTAAAGAGTCAGGAAATGTGATTATTTAGTATACTCTTGATTTGGGGAATAAGCCATCCTGTGTTCCTAATGATCACTTGTGCAGTGCAAGTGTGTATATCCCATAAAAGTACCTTTAGTCCATCCTGTAAATGGATCAAAGAACCAAGCTAATTACTTCTTCTACCCATCTACTTGTGTGAAAAGAAGCATGTGATAATGGAGGCTGCATGAATTCCTGAGAATGTCAAAGTTCCATTAAATTAAAGGATTCATCTGGTGAAGACTTTTAGGCATTCAGAACATTTCACAGCCACAGTCAAAAACTGTACGTAATAAGGAACATGTGTGTGCATGTTCTTGGATTTATCTGAGGTTAACTCTTTAGCAGCTGAATCATAGTAGTTAGGGGGGGCACGAGATAGCAACTGGGATGATATAGGATAGTAGTTGGGTGATGTAAGTATTCGAAAATAGTATAAAGACATGTTACATTTTTAACAAGTATGGCAGTTCTGCTGAGACTATGGCCTCAGCTTTCAGGAACACACATTCAGCAAACATTTCCAGGCCCCCCAATCCAATTTTGAATGACCCAAGCAAGACAGTAAAATTTAAATTATAACACTGTAAAAAGAAAACCTCTATCATTAGGGGTATGGATTTAAGTGATATAAACATATAAAAATAGTGTTTATACTTTTAAATTATTTATAGGTCTTACCCAATTAGTTGAAATAGCTTTCATTTCTTAAACTAAATCTCATTTTACAAACAAGCCTGCTAGGATAATGCAAGGATAATGTGATTCATCTGTATCCTTTTGTATGTTTATTTTTTAAAATATAGAGTAAATATTTTACCATGTTTAGTAAAAAGGGCTAAGAAAAGATCTGAGTTTTTCTGATTAAAGAAAATTCAGACCACGCATTTTGTGAAGAGGTAGAGATTTTTCTTCTGCTAAAATGGCAAAATACCTGCATGTGTGGCAACATGAGCACATCTCAGCAGAAACAGCCTCACACCTCCTTCCCCAAAACCTAACCTCTCCACCTTACGCCGTATCATACCCTACTCTGGGGGTTTTGTCTGATTATGAATCACCTTTTGGTCGCATTTCCCACTTACACCTTTTGTCTACTTACTTACAATCTTACTCAACTTTCTTAACATACACACAATAATACAGTCACTTTTGCTGGTTAAACTTTCCTGAAAGCAATATCCTTTGTTTTTCCTACTTAAAAAAATATTTACTGCTAAATTTCTTCAGAACATAGAGCACACCTGCTGCATTACCAGTCCTTTGTCACATTAGCCTCCACTTGGAACATTCTGTGGAACTTGTTCTCTCCGGGCTCTCTGGTCTTGCTCACAGTAAAGCCAGGGGCATACAGAGTTTTCAAAACAACTGACCAGAATTCCTCTCTTGGACACTTCTTCCTTCCACATTCCTTTCTCATGTTTCTTCTACTCT